CATACTGCAGAGATTAGTAAAAAGTGGTAATAAATATCACTGAACGAAAGATTGGATTTAAATAGATTTGCAAATGAAGTAAATGTGATGCAAATTTAGAGCTCTAAATTTGGTCTACATTTGCACTGGAAGCAATGATGGTGCAAATGTAGATATTTCTTCCTGTCGTATTGCGCGTAAATGCGAGATAATTATCAAATTTACATGATTTTTCTCACAGCTTCTTGTTGTTTAATGCACCTTCCAAAATCAATTATGACTGGAAAAAACACTGTATTTTTATAAGTCATCAAGATGTTGTCACCTTTAATATCCTAATGGATCATACAATTGCTGTGCAGCTGTTTGAGGGCTTCCAGAAGCTGCAAAATTATGTTCAACCGCCCTTGATTTTTCAACAACAAGAAATGGCTATGTAAAGGTCTGTGAAGGGTGTATACTTATAGTGCTGTAGGCACTCTAATGCTTACTGTTATAAATAAGTGTTCAGCTGCTTACCATGTGACAATAATAATTATTGATTATTATTGATTGCAAGTTAGCGATGAACTGCATCACACATCAGGTGTACAGGGTATTTTCATTTACCCTTTTCAAGACTGTTTCAAAGTGCTTAGCTGTTTTTTGGAGTATTTAAAGATATTTATAATACTTTTACATGCTACGGTGCCATGTGACAGTGTTACATTTAATATACTGCTGGAATGGAATAAATAAATGCATAGAGCTGGACATATATGTACATGCATTTTGTTTTGTTTAGTCTTTCTCCCCTGTATTCCCTTTCCCTTAATCACAAGTTCTACAAGTATTCTGATTCGTATTTGTTACGCTATTTCAATGTGTGCAAACATCAAGCTTACTTTATGTGCAAATATCATCAAAGCGAAGGAAGCATAACTTTTTTTTGGTATTTGCTATCAATGTAACTACGGAGTAAACGCGACATTTACCCGATCTTTGCTTTTCATGTAATTTTAGTGCAAACACAAACTTTGACTTGCTTGCAAATATGATCGAAGCTAGGCAAATATGATAATTGCGGCATATTTGCTATACACGTGTAAATCCAACATCTCGTGTAGCAAATTTAACCATTTACCTCACCTTTACTACAACAGAAAAGCTGTTGCAAATGTGCAATTTATCTTTACATTTGCTTAAGTATGTTAACATCCAGTAAATGCGGTATTTACCATATTTGCTTTGGGTGCAAATATAATGCAGTTATAACATTTGCATCTGAGCAAATATGAACAAGGTCGATCAAATGTGTCAGTTACTTCAAATTTTGCTGTGGTTGAAGCTCCGATTTTTCGTGCAGTGTATGAACAGTAATGCCTAAATAATATTTGATGACGCTAGGATAGACACATTTTACCTCTTATCATATCATTTCCACTGTCTACCCATTTTGTAAATATTTCTTGGGTAGACAATTTATGATCTCAATCAGTTGGCTGACTACACTCAAGATCTCTTTCGATTTCGTGTCGTCTCGGCTTATCTTCCGAAAAATTTCGGAAAAGTCGAACACTTCGATGACTTCTTTGTAAAAATTAGTGAAAATCTTACGAAAAACCTGGAACCATTGGATTGTTGACTCCTACAAACCCATATTAGTCGTGTAACTCCATCATCTAGTTCTATCGACCTCAACTGGGACGTTGTTAAGCGAAAGGTAATCAAGGCTGCAAACCCAAAGAAACTGAGCCTCTGGCCCAGACCTGGTATTGTCCAAAGTCCTCGCTCTGTTTGGTGACTCAGTTGTTCATAGTCTGCAGCCAGTTTTCAGGAAAAGTATCAATGATGCTACCTACCCTTCCAACTGGAAACTGTCTCGTGCAAATCCTCTTTTTAAAAAAGACAGATCAACTGATGTAAATAGCTACAGACCAATCTCTCTCTTCAGGGTACCAGGAAAGATCTTGGAAGATGTAGTCAGCAGCTCTCTGGACCATCACATTGAATCTCAAGGCCTGTTAAGTAATAACCAATGGGGCTTCCGCAAAAACTACTCTACTGAAGGCATTTTGCTTTACCTCACTGAAACCTGGAAGGAAGCCCTAGACACGGGATTGAAGGTTGGGGTCCTCTTTATTGACTTCAGAAAAGCGTTTGATTCTGTGAATCATCTAATTCTTCAGAAAAAACTTCAAGCAATGGATGTCTCAGGAGACTTTCTGTCTTGGTTTACCAGCTACTTATGTGAGCGTCGCCAATTTGTCCAGTTATCAGGTATAAAGTCTGGACCCAGATTGATAAAATATGATGTTCTACAAGGATCTATATTGGGTCCAAGACTCTTTTCAATTTTTGCAAAACACTTTCCGGAGGCTGTTACTGATGGGGAGCTATTTATGTTTGCCGACGATACCACCATCTTCACTATTGGTAAGGATATAGAAAGTATTATAGTGGTTTTACAGTCGATTCTGGATCAAGTCCTTTCCTGGTGCAACTCGATCAGGTTGACTGCCCATGAGACAAAATCTGAGGCTTTGTTGCTGTCGAAACATGATTTTACTGGTCCCTTGCCACTATTGAAATATGGCCAGAGTGTCATCAAGTTTAAGTCGTCATCTCAATGTCTCAGTCTTACATCGATCAAAACTTATCATGGAAAGAACATATCATGGCTGTCTGTAAAACGTTTAACAAGAAACTCGCTATATTAAATTCTTACCTAAGTCTATTCTAGAGTCTATTCATTTCAAGACTATTATTCCATATGTCTTGTATGAGATTGCTGTATGGGGCTCATGCTCACTGGTCTTGATGGAAAAAATGGAGCGTGTCCACCTGCGAGCTGCCAGGTTAATCCATAATCTGACTAGGAACATCAATATGGATGACATGTAAGCTCAGGGGATGTTCTCCTATTTCATATTTTTACACGAAAAGGGTACTATTATTAACTTATAAATCATATTATGGTCTCTCTAATGACTACCTTGATAACTTAGTTTCGAAGCAGGAACACAGATACAATCTAAGAAAAATTTTAAATATAAATATCACTAGACCAAAAACGGAAATGGGAAGACTATCTTTTAAGCATAGGGCAGCTATAGCTTGGAATTCTCTTCCAGATCGCATTCAGGAGGCTCCCTCTATTCCGAGTTTTCTGAAAGAATTGAATCAAAATAAGGACATTTTGTTGAAAATATCATATACTAAAGAGTCGTCCATGATTAAAAATAACAAAGATGATGATTTTTTTCTATTTTTAAGCATACATCACAGTTTCCATGATAACAACTTTTATATTTGTATTTAAAGATAGGTTTCTAGTAATATTTTTAATGTTTATATACCTTGAATCCTTGTATTTTTATGCTTATAGATTTCAAATTGTGCGATTGTGATTATGATGTTAACTTAGTGTGCATATCCACATCAGGACTTATGGTCTTGCCTATTTTAGTAACCTGCCTTAACAAATAAACTTGTTGTTGTTGCATCTGTGAAGTCCACGCGTTTCGGCCATCTTTTGTTAGCTGTTTGTAACTTTCACCGTTCTTCTCAACAACGATAGGTATACGGAATAGACTAATACCTTCCTTCTTTCCAGATTTTACTCCACAGCCTGGTATTATACAGAGAACCACCTCACTACAACTCACACACATCTCTCTTTACACGTGTCTGTTTACTTTTAGAGGGGCTCCACAATGGCGGTTAACGACCGTTGTCAAGGACTAAGGTCACGTCGGTGAAAACCAAGAGTTCCTTTTTGAGGCGTTGAATAGATACATTTTTGGAGCGTAAAGAAACCTGACATTCTGGATCTCAAAGCACCATTTTCTGACAGTATTTCTCGCACAAGTTCCTTTAAGATTTCAATTGATCCTTACTTTTTCGCTTGTCATCATATTCCTTTATAAATAATGAATTCACCACCGCCCAGATAACCCAAAGGATAGTGCGCTGGACTGTTGTGCGGGAGGTCGAGGGTTCGAGCCCAGGCCGGACCAACACCCAAGGTCTTAAAACAATTGAGAAGAATTTGCTACCTTTCTATAACATCAAGAAAGGGTTAGATATTCTAGTCTTCTCGGATAGGGAGGAATAAATGGAGGTTGGGGTAGGAGACGTTAACTTCCCACACACGGGATTACCGTGTGATGGATGTCCTGCCCTGGGGTGGGATGGGTGGGAAGTTGAGGGCCATATGTTAGAAAACTTTGTAAGTTAATATGTTACCCTCGTTAAATAAAGATGTATGAGTACGAGGGCGTTGAAGTTGGTCAAGGTGGCCATCATTACATCGTAAACTATATTTTCATCAAAATAATTGATTTCTGAAAGAGTATCGAAAGAACCTTCCCTGTAGTTTCTTTGAGTTACACTTATCATCACTCATACTTTTTTCTAAAGAACCGTTCCCGATCACATACAGTTGATTCTCGCATTAGATATCTTGCCAGTACAGACAAAAGTTAAATCTTCGGGAAAAACTATGGAAACAAGCATCACCATTGTACATTAATGAACAGTTTGTGTGGTCCCACTTTTGTTAAATGGCCAATTTACAATTGGATTCATCAAACAACAGTTTTACTTTTTGTGGTCGTGGAATACCAGCGCTTTATGTTGTTTTGATCACTCGCTTAGTTATAACCGAAGTAAATGCATACCATGATCTTAGAGAAACTGGCAACCTGGAGCATGGTAGTATACGTTGTTCACGACACTCTAAACGAAGAATGAAAATAAATAAACAAACAAACATGTGTAGATAATTTTTTTATTGCCCCATGTTATCAGAGACAAGAAATATCTTAAGAAGGAAAACATTTTTATGTCACAAATGTGAAAAATTGGTTTGATTGAGACCTGTTAGTGCCAAAGTAATGAAACCTATTGCAAAATGAAGTTAGAAAACAAAATGGATTCAGACTTTATTCTTGCTTCACTCAATAGGGGTGGGGTGAGGATCGGCGTTAAAACGGTTGATATGAACCCTTTGTTCAATTTCACGTTCTCTTTATTTTAAGTCTCTCCCCAGATCACTGAGTCTCCAATAAACCAGACTGTTACCGAAGGATACTCTGTCAACTTCAGTTGCCGAGCGTCAGGAATACCAACACCAACATTAGCCTGGGTTTTTAATAATAGTGACCTACCATCTGGTAGCAATAAAACCGATCAAGAAGTAGAGTCAATCCTGGAATTGACACGTGTCACAAAAGAGATGAAGGGGACTTACAAATGTACGGCAACAAATAAGGAAAGTTCAACTAGTTCCTCTGCAACACTAATTGTTTATGGTAAGTTTGATGTAAACAAAAATTATTATTGTTAATTTGTGTGAAGATAAATAGGAAAATGAAGATAATGGAAGGCCCCAGGTGGACCCGCGTATGCAGGCTATTGTTAAAGATAGAGACTTCTTAAGGACTTCACACCATTGCAATTATGAATTAATGTGTGAAAACAAAGAGAACAAAGGGTGGAAAGGTTTACATCTTGTTGGAATTTTTCCCAAAAGTTTGAGGAAGTTCACGAGTAAATACTGCCGCTAGAAATCCGGAGTAATAATGCGCTTGGAAATCTTGAATTACATATAGGGATGTGATTTGTAACTAGCTATTTGGTTCCAGACCTTAAAAGACCCCGTTATTTCGAGTCAAACGAGTAGATCTGAAAAGATAAAAAGAAGCAAGGATTAACTACAAAAAATGGCGCTATCGTTTGTTGACTGATACAAACTACTTGATAATGTGCGTTGTACATCTTAGCTAGAACATTTTATCGAAAATAGTTCTGCGACGGAGAGATCCAGGAAATTCATAATAGGGCAGAAGGATCAGAAAAAGAAAGCGAGATGCAAAGACCGTATTTGCATGTGGTACAAAATTGGAAATCTCGACAGTGAACAAGGTAATGGCTACAAAAGAAAACTACTTTCATTCCTGTGCGAAATCCGAGGTCAAATGGCTATCAAATTTTCGAAATAATTCCTTTGGATATTTATTTGCCTTGCAACTATGTACAAAGTTAATTTGTGGATTTGCAACTCGTTTTGACCGCATCTCACCGACAAACAATTGCATTTCTCTATTGAAATTTTCGAAAACATTATTAAAAGGTCAATTCTGGCTCGTTTCCTTTCCATACGTTTGTTTGTTTATTTGTTTGTTTGTTTAGTGTTGATTCTGCAGTTTTAATTTTAATTGCCTCTCTCCCAATGTAGGTAAAGCCTCTGCTCAAGTTGTGTCAGAGTCACATCAAACACTCACAACGGGAGACGTCTTTGCATTGACCTGTAAAGTCAACGAGGAAACCATAAACATAGCTTGGAAAAAAGATGGAGAATCATTAAAAGAACGAGCAGTTATAGATACCAGACTACATGCGAGAAAGAGTAAACTTGTTATTACTGAAGTTGTGGAAGAGGACAGTGGTGAATATTCTTGTGAAGCAAGTAACAAGGCAGGAACTGTGGCTCACTCTTCTGTGATATTGGATGTAGAAGGTAAGCTAGGGTAACTGCAAGGTCTTTGCTGTGAACTAGAATCTCAAGTTTTTATATTCCTAAACTTTTCCATCATTGTTTTTTTTTATCTTCTTGAAACTAAAATCATTAAATGAAAACGAAGTTAGATGCAGAAGCAGCATCCCATACCTGGAGATAACTATATGATTTGCTATGATAGCATACATTGTATTACAGGTACATGCTCAAGTTATATTTATGACTGCTTCCATTTCTGCCGTAAGATTGTTGTTACTCCCCGTAGTGAGTATCATAGCCGATCAGATTGCATCACCTCACCACAAGCAGTAAACAATACGAATGTCAAATAGTCAGCTATGGGAACAAAACAAAGAGTAATAATTCTACCCCTCTACCTCTCTACCTTGAGAATTGGCGAAACTGATTGCCTTTGTTAATAAACTAAATTTCTTTCCTACATGAAATGCAGCAGCTCCTTCCAGCAGCCCACTAGAGTGGTACTACATTGTTGGACCGGTGGCTGCCGTCATTTTCCTCTTCGCTCTCATTGTACATACTGAAAAGTGCCGCGCGGCAGGTAAAAGGAGCTTTGAAGAGGTGCCATAGGTTACCTAAAAAAAAGTGTTTGATATGGAAAATTGTGGCTTTTAATATGTCAGTGTTAAGGATTATAACAGAACTTTTTTTTACCATGTCACATTCTTCATTTCCAAAACTGACATCAAAGGCCACCTTTTACTACCCGCAATCCCATTACCTGATCTAATCACAAACTAAAAATGGTCATAAATTACATCCTGCTAGTCACCATGGCAACACACCTTATTCCTTCTTAGTTCTAGACATAGTCTAATATAAGTTAATAGTGACTTCTGAACCGACTGAACTAAGTGAACAAAGTCATTCTTGCTCACAAAAAAGTCATTTCTTCCATCAATAGCCCTCCAAGAAGATGCAGGACCGGATGAGCGAGGAGCAGCTGCAGCAATTCCCAACAGTGAAGGGGGAGAACCCGGTGCTACTGTATATCCTTTTGTGACTGAGGTAGATATCAATTATTTGCCATCTTCCCTGGTGATGGACAATAACGGTTTTGGTACTTTGGCACGCCCCCTTGTGACTGACGAGGAAAATCCTTATTGTTCAACATGCTCTCTTGCGATTTAGGAGGAAGACTCTAGCAAATCAGTATGCTCCCCTGTGATAAAGGTAGAAGATTTGGAAGCCACAGTAGGTCGTCCTGTGACTGAAAAGTAAATCTTAACGCTTTATTACATCCTTTTGCCACTAAGGCGAACAGACCTGATGCCTCACAATTTCCTCCCGTAATCGGGGAAGATGTCGATTCTTTTAAATACCCTCCCCTGATTGAAGAAGAAGCCCATATTGATTACGTTTTCACACTAGATGTCGAAGAAGGTATAACTAGCAAACCTGTAACTGATGCTAACGATGAAGGTGCTACAGCAGTACAATCTGTAAAGGAGGTAGGAGAGGAAGAACCTAAGACTTGCTAGCTTGAGAACACAAAGGATGAACAAGACGATATTGAAAACATATGGAGGACCAAGGTGATGCTGTAGACCTTTGTGATGAAGCAGTTAATGTGCAAGGGCATAATGGTTATCAACTAGCGGCTGTGGATACAGAAGAAATCGAAAATTACGAAGACGAGCAGCCCTCCGAAGCAACTCCTCTTGTGCAGGACTGAGGCATGATAGCAAAATTGCTAAACCTTCAATGTTGTAGTCTTTTATTACTCAGTGGTAATTTGAAGTTTAAATTTCGAGAACCTTAGGCTTACCTCTCTGTAACTCCTGATTTTAAGGTGTAATGTTCATCTTATATTTGTAATGCTTTGTTAGTAATGATAATCATTTTTATGGTTTATAAATGGAGGCTAAGCAGAAGTTTTCTGGAAAGAAAACTTGCCTATTTACTTCACTTTTACACTTCTTAGTCTGGCGTTTATTTACCTGTTGCACCCGTGAGTGCCTTTTGTGTTATCAACTGTGGGCTGGTAGAGACGAAAAGATACAAAAAAGAGGCATCGCTGTTAAGGTAATTCTTGTGACTGATTGCCTCAGACATAGATAATAAATTTGTGAGTGTTGGTATAAGTACAAGTAATATTTCCTAGCGCTTTAGGGAAGAAAAACAGTATTGGTTTCTTCGTCTCGAAGCAAAGTTGCTCTTAGGAACTCAAAGTGACCGTTAAGAACGACAAACAAATAGATGTTGATATCTTTCAAGTCACTATTAATATTGACCCTGCTAAAAATAATTAACTTGTTGTAAAACACTCTATAAGTGCCTCATTAAACTTATATAAACTAAACTCGTTTTGTTTACTCTATCCATTGTTACAAAATTGCTGGTCCGGATCAGACAACTTTCAGGGAGATAAACGCAAATGCGCAGAAAATTCATAAAAAAATAGATAAAAGGAAAAGAAGATTTAAGCAAGCAAATCTAACTGTAGATATAAAGGAAACCATAAACTAAGGTGACATTTATTATCAAAGGGTGAGAATTCAGAAAATCCAGTAGCCCCGTGGCAAATTCCCTTTCGTAAACGGTCGTTGTCATTTAAAACGGTGGATGCCGTTTCTCAGAACGGTCGTTGCTATTTAAAACGGTCGATGCCATTTCTTAGAACGGACGATGCCTTCGGAAAGGTCGATGCCAGGATGGTAACCGATAGCTCCGACTCTCTGACGACATGTGTGACAATCAGCGTGACAATGAGGCGCTCGTGTATATTCCGCGTAACTAGCTTTCACTCGAACCAACCATTTATTTAAAATTAAAACATAATTATTTGACTTATGATGTACATAATTCAAAGAATTAAAGAGGACGCATCGCTACTCTGTGACGGAGTTTCGCGCCTAAGCGCTCGTCAGACAGAACTTTATTCAATGAAGAACATACCTCTTTATAAACAAATTAGATAAGTAGCTAATTAATTCACTGGTGTGATAATCTGATTTACGTGTTAAATAAAGATTCTATAGAGCTATTGTTGGCGGCTTTTGAAATTTGCTAAGTGAAACTTATTCTCGTGGTGGCATTTAGAAATGAGTTCTGTTCTTTTGTTTAGTAAAGACTGTTTCTTAGCTCTAACTAAGTAAAGTTTTTTTTTTTTTTTTTTTTCTGTGAGGCACAAGTGGCACTGCCTGCTTTTGTTACTGTAGGCCGGGGCGGTCGCTAAAATACTCCAGTTAAATGTAAAATTGGTGTTTTTGTCTTTGAGTGTCCAGATATGTTTTGATGGTTCCGTGCTGTTTGAATAGTTTCTGTTCCGAAAAGAAAGTTTGTGTTGCGTGTAACGTTGTTTACAAGTTCCTTCTGTTAGTCCGATGTAATTCTTTTCGGTTCTAGCACTTTCTGTTGTTACGTTGGCGTTGTAGACGACGCTTGAAGTAAGGCAGTTGTTTTTCAGATGGCAGTGGTCTTTTTTCCTGCTATTACAGTTGTTTTCCGTGGAAATTGTTTCGAGGATTTTTCAGGAGTGTTTCTTAATGATGGTTTTTAGGTTGTCTGTGCAGCTATAACTAACTTTTATGTTGTTTTTGTTGAAAATCCTGTTGTACCGGTGATTTTTCGGAAAATGTTTATGCTGTAATCCGCCTTCACTCGCTCCTTCACTCCATCACTCCTATCTAATCTGTTGGACAATTAATTTATGCATTAAACCTGTTTCCCCTCTCTTCCCTACTGGGTTTGACTTTGTACCCTACCGTGTGCAATTGTCTTCTATAACATAGCCTTACAAAAGCGCGCGCTCTGATTGGCCAATATGCTCGATTCATTCGCCCGTGGGTTGCACGCTGACATCAGTTTGCTTCGGTTTTTTTTTTTTTTCTTTTAACGGCAACTTTTCTCGTCCATGTTGCCACTTCTTGCAACATAATTGTGGGGTTTTCGCTCGTGAAATATGTAGAAATCTTGTGACTATTCCGGAGATAAGGAAGATAATTCTTGTGGGCTGTCAAAGTTCGAGCTCCTTTTCTCTTGACGGGCCTCCAGCTAAGAGTTCGAGATTTGCGAACTTAGACGAGCAGGAGCTTAATCAGCTGGTCGAACAAAGACACTCAGAGAAGACCAAAAAAACAACAAACTGGTCTGTATCAACCTTTCGAGGTGAGTAATAGACAGCAGCAGTTTTAGAAAGTGTGTTTCAGGGATTTAGCGATAATAAAATTCTGCACAAGCGTTCACTGCAAAACGTTTTAGGCTTGGGAAGCCATTTAAATGCTTCCGGCGAGCAAAACTTTCCTATAAGCCTCAGCTATCTGTTCTTTTACTTTTAGATTGGGATGTGAAAGAAAACCCTCCAGAATTCCTTACAGAATGGTTACCAGGCTTTTTAACAGAAAAAAAAAAAAAACAGAATAGCAGTGAAATTAGTACATCTTAAAAATCGCACGCAAACAACGCAAGTAGGCCATCATATTTCAGATAAAGCTGTCGTTGGATTTGGTGTTCCTCAAGGATCTATTCTTGGACCATAAACTATCTTGCTATTTGTGAAGGATAATCACAGACGCTCGAATAAATTTAGGTTTTACCTCTTTGCAGACGACACTAAATTTTGTATGCGGAAAAAAATCTGAAAGACCTTGAAAAAATAGCCAACTACGAGTTACAAAACTTTTATAACTGGTTGACAGCCAACAAGCTAACTCTTAACACTAAAAAAAACCAGCTTTGTAACTTTCCAGCTGCAGGATTGTATTAAGAGGCCCTTGATTCAACTCAATCGAAATGCGTTATTTATAAAAAAAAACCCATAGACTTAGGTTTGTGTAGTCCTCCGAGTACATCCTGTGGGTTCACTTCATGGTGATTTCATTTAATAGGTGGAATCCTCCTGAGTTCTCTTAAGAATGCAGGACGTCCACATCAGCACCAGGATACTTAAGTATAAGTAACAACTCAATTTCGCATGGAACACTTAAGGAATCTGATTCTAGAAATAATTTCTCGCCGGGAAATTCTTGTAAGGATGCCCTGGTACTAAAAAGTGAATGGTACTAAAAGGTAATGAAACATCTGCTGCTATGACATATGTACTTTCCGTTTCTTTCCAGACTGATAAACTATTGAGAGGGGTTCTAGACAATGCTACTTTGCTTCTGTTTGAAATGAAGTTTGCTGTGCATCAGGTTAGGTTTGAATTCCATTAACTTCTAAGGGTGACTGACATCTCATTTCTCCTCAAAATATCTACCCAAAATCAAACATCAAAGTGATGAGAATGAAAGAAATGAATACTATCAAAAGGACCTCCTGATTGTCAAACAAGTTCTCCTTGCAAGTACTACAGGAAATATATAGAGAAATGGAGAATGTGGATGTTAAGCGCTTAATTTGTTAGGAGGGGCGCTTATTAGGTGGCGCTCACCTAATAATTCTCATATTATAAAATTGAATTTGAGATATCAAGAGTAAAACAGGAACATGTTTAAAATGTTATTAATTGTATCATTTTGTTAGAAAAATGGTCTTGCTCTTTGTAGGGGCTTGCTCCATGTTTGCAAAAATTTTTAATGCTGTTGGCCTTTTTGTGATAAGAGCCCTCTTTTGGAGAAGAGTTCATCCTGTAATGGTTCTTCTTTGACGGAATCCGAGTGTTTCAAATATCCTGGTCATGACCGATCAGCACTTGAGTTTTAGCAACCATATTGGGTACGTAGTCAGGGAAGTCTCGAGGAAACTGGGTGTTTTTCAACATTTGAGAATCGTTATTTCCATGGCTGCTGATGAATGCCTTTATAAGACAACAATTTCACCCATTTTTGATTACTGTGATGTGGCTTGGCACGGGTGTGCAAAAGCTAACTTTGATGCTCTCAAGAGTCTACAGTATGGAGCTGCAAAGTTAATTTTTTTCAAATACTGGTCTCGACCCCCTAATCCTTTGCGCTTTAACATGAGTTTCCACATTCTCCATATTGGTCTCTACATGTTTCCCAAGCTCCTGACAAGGAAAATTTGTTGAATAATCAAGAGCTTCTTCAGTTGCTGATCACTTCATTTATTCTCGTGACTGTAATGTATGTGACTCAGGGAGGACATTGTAAGGAGAAATCAGGTGCTACTCACTCTTAATGGTTAACTTTGATGCAAGGTTGACCTTGTAGCTCATCCCTACAATCCTACAGTGAACAATGGCTAGTCACTGGACTGAATTTATGATAACTTTATGACATTAAGTTTCTTGTTATTTCAGGCCAACTTCTTTTCAGTAGAAGACAATGTACTAAACATTTTTGGCTCATGAAGATTGTTGAAGCCCAAGAACAAAGAGTAGGTATTCCACTAGGACATTAAGCATTTCTCTTAAGGTCTTTCAAAAATTGCTTGTACATTTGAAGGGTTCAGATGACAATGTTTTTTAGGTAGTTCTGTTCAAATTCAATGTATGTGAGCTCAAAATTTCAAATTCACAGACAAACCTTCCTTAACCCTTTCACTGCCATGATCTCATTAGTAATTCTCATTACTGTCAGCCAAACAATTCTTATGATGTTTGATCTGAGAATTTGGTATTGGATCAACTAATTGGTGTTTTTGTGTGGCTTACACGAATTGTAAACTGCACTATGTCACGAGCCAAGATGTTTATTTGATAGTCTATTTGATAGACTGCAACTCCTTTTCAGTTACTTGTTTGGTTTTGGTTAATTCATCACAACATTGATATGCATAAAAAATTACACTCTTAAGAGAGAACTGATGTTACCAACGGTCAAATATTTGGTGGTAACAGCCAAAAAATCGTTTCAGCTCATATTCTCAAGTTAGGTAGGCCTTATGGTCAAAAAAGCACTGCATACTTCGTTTGGCTGAATATCGATTTATTTTTTAGAAAATCGATAATAACTGAATTTCGACCAAATGCCGCTTTTGAAGCTCAGCATTTCAGACAATTCTCGGAGCGTCCCGCCAAGAATTAAAAACACTTGGACCGATAAAAACTACCAAATCTTAAAGAACAACATCAATACATATATTGAGAGCAATTTGAGTAATTCTTGATCATTTATTTGCACAACGTAATTGAATTTATCCGACTCTCTTCTAACAAAATAAAAAATAGGTAAAAAGTAACCCGTTATTTAACTATGTGCAATACAAAATAATCGACTGAAAATCTGGCTTTTGGAAGGCGAAGTGTGGTTCTTTTTTATCTCCAAAGGATTTTTTTTTGGAAATGATTCATTTTGATTTAAAAGAATTTTAAAGTCGGATAAAATGAGGTGATTTGACGATGTCGTCAGTTGTTCGAAAATGTTCACA